ATGTTCCGCCACGCGGCTACCCACAAAACGTGCCTCCTCCCCCAAACGGGCTTGACATGGATCCTGGTGGATTCGTACCACAAGGGGGGCAACTCGGGGGGCAAGACGTTAATGCGATTCGAGATCAAGTAGCACAGATGCTGGCAGATCAGTTTGGTTTAGGGATTAGACCAGCGATGTCGCCGGTGTATCGAAAACCATATCCGGATTGGGTTGATAGATACTACCCCTTTCCACGTGGTTTTCGCGTGCCTGATTTCATCACCTTCAGCGGGACTGGGGATCAGTCCACCATCGAGCATGTTGGACGATTCACGGTTCAGTGTGGTGATGTGAGTGATTTCTTGAAGTTGCGTTTGTTTGGCAACTCGTTGACCGGCCCCGCATTCGCGTGGTACGTCAACTTGCCATCGAACTCGGTTCAAACTTGGCAGCAAATGGAACAAATGTTCCATGCCCAGTTCTACCGTTCTGAGCCAGAAGTAACAATGGCAGACTTGGCACGAATGCGCCAACAGCCAGGAGAAACAGTGGAACACTTTTTAACAAACTTTAAAAATGCAAGAAATCGCTGTTTTGTGAACTTGACAGAACGCGAGTTTGTTAAACTGGCCCAGGGTGGATTGAATTTTGAACTTCGTAAAAAGTTTCAAGATAGGGAGTTTTCTGATTTGTTTCAATTGATGTCCTGCGCTGTTAGATATGAATCTCTTCTCCGTGAAGAAGAACATAAGAGAAGTGGCTCTCGCGGACAATATTTCCCTAATTTTGAAAACTATGGTGTGAATAACGTCGGCAACGATGTTGACGAAGTTGAAGTTGATTTGACTGAGATTGTGCAGGGGAAGCCATATGTGTGTGCTTCTCTAGCCAAGGCCGATGGGGAACCACAAGGTGGAAAGCCCAATCGTGCTCCGATTCAAACTAGAAAATATTCCTTTGATGTCTCAAAATCAGAATTGATTTTCGACCAGCTTTACAAAGATGGTAAAATTAAGTTAATTGGGGGGCATACTATCCCGCCAGCTGAAAAATTAAAAGGGAAACGCTACTGCAAGTGGCACAACAATGTGTCTCACTCAACTAATACGTGTGTAGTGTTCCGCAACGTGGTGCAGGATGCCATTGAAAAAGGGCGGTTCAAGGTATCGGAGTCGAGAAAGGAGGCCATGACTGTTGACGTTGACCCAATTCCCAACATCGTCAGCATCAATATGGCCGACGTCGTGGGGGGCAACGTTGTCGAGTCTCCTTGGTACCGCAAAGGCTTTGGTACTCAAAAGGTCAGGAGTATGGCAGGAGGATCATGCAACTGTGTAGTTTCAAACGCAGGGGTGTTGAGTAAGGCGTGCATGAATCCGTTGTCCGAGATGGTGAGACCATATTTGTTCGCATTAGATGGTCCACTGAACTCTGAAGTACAAGTCAATAATGAGTAATCCACCTCGAGATAAGGTGGTGGAGGCCAAAATCACGGCCTTGAGAGAGAAGTTGGCCATTTACGAGTCGCCTATCAACGACGAGGGTTCAAGTCACAAGGTGGAAGAAGGATTTAGTGCAGCTGCTTGCGACATTGTGAAAGAAATCAACCTTGGTGCGGAGGAGGATCTACGTTTAACCTTCATCAGTGCCAACTTGCTAGAACCCAACAGGTACGAGTCGAAGGAGCCTTTGAATGAATTTAACGATTACTTTATGCGTGTTTATCATAAAATATTGCATGTGCACACCGCAATCACCGCAGTCGTGCGACTTAAACGATGTGTTATTATCTTACATTGTCTAGCAAGTAAGGGTCTGAGCTATATAGACGCTAATGGCGTTGCAACAACAAAATCACCGCCGTTGGAGTGAAGTTGGGACTTGTCGTGCAATATGATTTTTCGTTTGGCCAAAGTTGTTAGGTGTGACTGGCTAGTTACAATGTTGAAGTAAAAAAAAATGATTATGGCCGTTCGGGCCAATGCTACGCTGCGGTGTAGCGATATGGATTTTCTTTTCTGCAGCGACGTTGTTGGGGTCGCGGGGCTGTGCTAGGATAAAGTGATAGACCAACACCGTTGGTTTTAAATAAATAATAAAAAAAATAGATAGGGCGGCCAAAACAGCGCTGCGGGAGAAATATTTAAAAAAAAGGGTGCTCACCGCTGCCGCTGTTTCCAACGGCCCTGAAAAAAAAAATATTCATGCAGCGCTGGCGGAGGAGAGTAGCAGCCCTGGTGAAACAAAAAAAAAAATCTCAGCGCTGCGGTTGGGGCAGAAATTTGACAGCCCCGGTAGATATAAAAAAAACAAAATTAATTAGTGGCTTTGGGGAAAGAGGCCGCCAGGTCTGAGGAGGAAAAAAAAAAAGAGCCACGCTGTGGCCAGGGCGGCCAAACAGCTCTGGCGAAACAAAAAAAAAATCCAGCCCTGCGGCTGTTCCAACAGCCCTGGAGAAAAAAAAAACAAAAAATTTGTACATGCATGCAGCGCTGCCGCTGTTTCCCCAGCCGTGAAAGAAGAGAAAAAAAAATTTGCAGGCCTGCCACAACAACTCTGGCGGCAAATTATAAAGATTAAAAAAAAAATCCAGCCCTGCGGCTGTTCCCAACAGCCCTGTAAAGAAAAAAAAATTTATAAGCATGCAGCGCTGGTGGAGAGAAAAAAAAATATAATAAAAATAGAAAATCAAAAATCAAATTCAGGCCTACTTGGATGCGGAACAGGCTGCGAATGCAAGGCTGCTTAACCGGCCGCATAATATATATATTGGTTATTAATTGGTGCTCACAGCGCTGGTAGATAAAAAAGGAGTAATCTAGCCGCGTTGTTGCAATTAGCCGCAATATTGGTGGCCAAAATCATTTGGTCATGCATGAGGATTATATAATTGGTAATTAAAGACTTCATTACTAATTTTGGTCTACGTGTTTATTTTGTTTAAACACTTTGAGCCAAGTATTTTAGGTGTTATACTATTTTGTCAACAATTTGGTTCATAATTCCTATAAACCAAATTGTGGGGGGCATTTGTTGACACCTAAAATTAATTTGGCCGGAATTAAATGCCGCATTAATAAGTCTCGGCATTTAAGTCGATACCGCTGGTAAAAAACGGTATCGTTGTGAGTCGAGCAGCGCCGCGGAGAACTAAAACGGTACCGCAAGGAAGCTCAGCGGTGCCGCGGTACTGCAAACGACACCGTTTACCGAAAATCAAAAGGGGCCGCGTGTTTAGTGCTGGTATTGGAGAATGAATTTTCTCTAATTAATTATTATTATTTGTTTCTTTGTTGGATAGGGAGAAGCGGCACCGCGGAGAGCTAAAACGGTGCCGCGGAATTTAAAACGGTACCGCTATACTAGCAAACGACAGTGTTTAATAATAAACAGTGTCGCGGAAGGAAAAACAAACGGAGCCGTTTTGGCGCTAATGATGTCGTTGGTCAATACACGAGTTGGACTAGTGATGGCCAGATTAATTACTTAATATTTTTAATGGCTTTTTAGCATGGTGTCAATTAGTTGAAAACCATGCCGCGAGTGGGTCAAACGATGCCGCAATAGTTAAAACGATAGTGGTAAATGCAAAGCGGCATCGCAAAGTTCAACAGCATCGCAGAAATAGAAAACGATGTTGTTTAATTAAGAACGGCGCCGCGAAGTGAGAGTTTGACGACGAGTTAACAATGAGGGCTTGTTTAATTAATTAGTATTTTATTATTATTTTAGACGGTGTCGTTTAATGAAAAGCGATGCCGCGGAAAAGTAAAACGACATCGTGGTGGTGGTAAGAGTTCGGCCAAAGGCAGCCCGCCAAGCCCAACGATGGCGCAAGAGTAGAGAACGACGTTGTTTGATGGATTAACAATGTCGTTGGTTAAACCGGGTCGGGGCAGTTGAGTTGGATTATGAAACGACACCGGTTGGTGAAAGGCGATGCCGTGGGGTTGGTGAAACGGCATCGTTACATGGATAAGGTTGTAAGTCGTTTCGCCAAGTTTCTGCAAAGCAAGAGCGGTTTCGAGGGCACGTGATTATCACGCAACAAGGAGGAAGTTACCTGCACGGTTGACAGGAATGAAGACGTGGGAGACAAAGGCGCCAAGGCAGTTACTACGACGGGGAGAAGCGCGAAGTATAAAGATTGGGAAGAGAGAGAAGCTCGGGACGGCAAAATCAAATCACAAACTGCACCGTCGCAGATTATCAGTTTTCTCTCTAGTGTTCGTAGAACCGCTCTGTCAAAGACCTCCTTTGCAGAGTCGTAGTAGTCGTAGATCGTAGTTGCGGAGCTCTCCAGAGGAACCTCCATAGGAGTAGAGGTAACGTAACTTAGAACACTCTTGGTTTGGTTTCTCGTTTCTCGTTGAACACCCTCGTTCGAACGTAGTTTGGAGAGGTGGTGAACCGAGTACGGTTGTTTGATTAGAGGTCGAAGGTGCATCGATCAAATCAACGATGCCGACACCGGCGGCGGCCATTTGACGATCGTCTTGGTTTCTTCTTTAATCGATCAAATCAACGGCGCCGACATTCGGCGGCGGATATTTGACGATTTTGCTGATTTTTGGTGTTTGTGCTTACTTGAATACAGTGCGCATTGAACACGCGAGTTTCGCCAACGAAACACATTGCCATCACTATCTGTTGTTGCTGCGTTGAAGGCTAAGCTCTCTCAATGATTGTCAATGGCAATTGCTTGAGATTTGTTTAAACAAATAAGAAAAGGGTATGGGAGATCAATTGGACTTGCGATCTGGGTTGGGTTTTTTCACCTTTCAATTGGGTTACCAAATTTGGATGTCTTTTATCGTTACAGAACTCATTCTATTGATTTTGTTTCCTGCTTCTGTGTCGAAAGATAATTTTCGTGTAAGTTTTAAAGCGCGATTTTGATTATATTAGTTGATAGCTACGTAAAAACGTTTTGATAATTCAGAAGCGTTAAAAACATAAACTTGCAGACCAGTACCATATGAATGCTAATCCGAAACATTGATTCACCACTACATCGTCTCTAATATGAGTGTACTCCAAAACATTCAAACAAATTGTTATACCACTTAAAATTCATCAGAGCACAAGAATCATTTAACCAAATGAAACCTCTAATTAAACACACAAACCTCAAAAGTCTACTTAGAAATTCTCCAACCAAAACACAAACCTCAAAAGTCTACTTAGAAATTCTCCAACCAAAACACAGCAATACTAAACATCGCCACTAAGACAAAATTGGGGCTTTTTTTCACTCAAACGCCCACTGATTCTCCCTGCGAACCTCTTCTTCCTCCTCCGGGGTGAAATCATTCTTGATGTTGAAAATCGCCCTAATCTCCTCGGGAGTCTTCCCCTTCATCATGTTCGCCACCGTCTGGCACGTCAGATCCAGCAGATCCTTGATGTTCAAGTAATTAGCGGCCAGGATTAGGTCGAACAGGGTGTTCTGATCGACCTTCACGAAATCCTCGTCCCAGCTCTTCAGACCGCCGTCCGCCGCCGCGCCGCCGGCGAATCCGTCGGGTTTGGGAGCCTCGTGGTGCTTCTTGCAGTACTCGATCACCTTCGCCAGGATCCTGCCGGTGACGTTGGGGAGAGGGATGCCGTTGTCGGCGCAGTCGTCCTCGATCATGTGCTTGATCGTCTGCGACTGCATCGCCACCGCCTCCTCCACCTCGAACGACTCGCCGTCGCTGCTCTTCAGGGTGATGAGTTTCTTCTCCGCCGCCGCCTCCGTCGTCGACATTGTGGCGATCGATAGATTTCTCTCCTTGATTCCTTGGCCGCGAGCGATTGGCAGTGAATTGGGTTTGTGAATCGGATTGAGGAGGGCGTGGGCTGTTTATATAGAGAGAATTGAAGAGCCTGGGTTTTTCCTAGCCCGCGTAGGGAAAGGAAACTGGGAGGGGGCGCAGTGCAGAAGGGAAAAAGGATTAGTAAGCGAGCCTAGGGATTTTCCGCATAGGAAAACTGTAATTAATACGACTTACTATTTTTTTTATACACAATAATTTTTTTTATAAAAGGATTGTCTATTTATTTATCCAAAACTTGTTTGGATTCTTTTTTATTAGTCAAACCTATCGAAATACTAAGAACAAATGTTAACTTTTAGTTAGCAATTTTGTTAGTAATATTGACTTGGTAACATGATACTGACTTGAAAGAGACACATGAAGATCAGCATTCCAAAATTTTAGTATTTTAACTAAGAAAATAGTTACAAAATTATTAACGATAACGTAAAAATGGCTAATATTTTGATGCATTACGAAAGATTTGGCTAATTAATAGCATTTTAATACGTTTGGATGATATAAAAGAATCTGAAAAAGATTTGGATAAAAAATAGACATTACTCTTAAAAATATTATCATTAAACTTACTATTTTTTTTATGCGCAGTAAAAAAAATTATCATTAACCACTGGGATCAGGAAGGGCTTCTGTTCGGTGTGGCGGCTTGGTACCTATGGAAAAGACGGAATGAGAAGGTCTTCCACAACCAGACTCAAGAGGATCACGTTTTGGCGCAACGTATTGGATGTTGGACGTCAACTATCAGGCAAGCCCAGGAAAATGACACATCTTCACATAAAGATACGCGCGAGAAGAGTGCACATCAGCTAGCTTGGATACCGCCACCACAAGACTTGATGTGTGTCAACACCGACGGCTCAGTGAAGCAACCAGGATCGGAAGCAGCAGGGGGTGGCATTATCCGGGACTGGACGGGGAAATGTATGGGAGCCTTTGTGGAGAATCTTGGAGTGTGCACGAATACGGTAGCAGAGATTATGGCGACCATTCGTGGCTTGCAGATGGCGTGGAAGAACAGGTATAGGAAAGTCCTCCTCCAATTGGACTCCACTACTGCCATCAACATCCTTACCTCGCAGGATCAGACGGAGCACAGGTACCATAATCTGGTTCTGCATTTTCAGAGGTTGCTCCAGTAGAACTGGGAAGTCAGAATTCCCCACATCTATAGAGAATGAAACAAAGTGGCTGATTTCCTTGCTAATAAAGGCCACTCTGTTAGTATAGGTTTCCATGTTTTTGCGAGTTCAGACCCGAGTCTGTCCTTCTGGATTTTGTATGACGTTTTGGGAATCTCCCAAACCCGTTTAATTTAAGTATTAGGTAGGGGCGCCCTTTTAGCATCCTATTTTTTTTAAAAAAAACTACTAAACTTATCACAACATTAGCAACAATTAAGCTCATTAGTGATCACCAGTCAAACTCCTTGTCAACATTGAGCCGTGAAGAACCATCCTTGTAATAACCGTGGTCACAAGATTTTACAGAAACGCAGGATTGTGCAATGGGTTGGTTCGTACAAGATCAAATCGATGCTCGAACACGGCCATATATACCAAACTGAGTATAATGTGTTCCGATCCTTAGTCCAATGACATTTGAACCGGACCAGACATAACCAATCTCGGAGTCTTAACTTCCATACACATAGGCGGAGCCAACCTATATTGCCCTTGTCCCAGGACATGGGTAATATTTGGTTGGTGAAAAATACCCCACATATATGTGTACCCAACACCTACAAATAATATAAGGATATTTTGCCACTATATCATAGCTCATTACTTGTTTAATAATTGATAAAAAAAAAAATTAATTTAATTGTTCCATTCATAATAATTATTCAACAATAGTTTGTTGGGTATTATCATGATGTTATGAGATTTCATTAATTGAAAGAAATTGATGAATTATCTCGACTAATGATGGAGACAAAAGTACGTAAGTCATATTCGTCAGTTTATTTGCTTCTGAAACTAGTTTGATTCTACCCGTTGCAACTATAAGTGTAGAAATAACATTTTTAGTTTGAACTATACTAATATCAAGTTTCGAAGTCGAATTGACGATCAATTTGCTAATGATTATTTAATATGATACATTGAAAGAGGCTTACTTAAGTGTATAGACAATGAATGTATTTTGCATTGCTTTGAGAATATGCAAAATTTTCACTATCCATACAGTTGTATTAGTCGGTTATTTCTTGATTTATAAATGAATTATTTGAATATTATTAATTTTAATAATATTAATTATATATTTATATTTTAAAAAGAGAACAGGGTAGTATCAAATCCTGTCTCCGGCCACTGTTCAATGTGTTCATACTGATAAACTTCTCATTAAAAATTTTCAAAATAGCATACACTTTAAAACAGTAATCGTTCCTACCTTCACACAAAATGTAAACCAGAATCCATAACCAAGTCTTCCATCTATAGTTAATTAGGCCCGCTTGCCGTAGTCTCCTCTCCGGTCACCATCCCCGTCGTAGTGATCATCATCATGGCCGCCGCAGCAGCAATGACCCCAACAAACCGAAATGGACAAACGCGTCTTCTTCTCCGTCCTCTCGTAACGAACCTCAACCCTCATCCCCCGCCGCCCACCCACCAAACCACCGCCGCTCCTCTGCCTCCCCGCCGGCGGGGCCGGGCCCACATCCCGGCCCACATACATACGGTCCAGCTTCGCGTTCATCTCCACCACCTGGGCCTCAATAGTCATCAGCCGGCCCATCACCGGGCCCGGGCCGAAATCCACGCTCAGCAGCATCTCGAACGACGCGGTCAGCTCCGTCAGGCGCTTGGAGAACCGCCGCTTCCGCCGGAGGTTCCACCAGCGGATCCCGCCGCAGTCGCGCACCAGCGCGTCGGCCTTCTCCAGCATCTCCCGCAGCTTCAGGGCCTCCCTGTGGGCCCCGGACTCCGGGTAGCGCGCGTCGATGGCGGCGAACCGGCGGCTGAGCGGCTCCACTTTCCCGGCCAGGACGGCGAGCTTGGAGCGGAGCGTGGAGGCGCGTGTGAGGGAAGGATGCATGTAGAGCTTGATGGTGGTGTACAGCTCCTGGAAAACGAGCCCCAGAAGTGCTCCGCCCACGGGATCGTCCGTTTTGGCGTTTGAATTCTTCATCCTTGTGTAAAGATTAGGATAGTGGAGATTCGAGGGAAGCCTTTTTTTTGTTTTTTTTTTTCGAAGAATATATGTAGAGAGTTGTTATTTTATTTGGCCTTTCTGTTAATTAAACTCTTCGCTGTGTTGACCCTGTTTTTGAAGTCAACTACGGCACTTCGCGGCTCGACTCTGCTGCCTGCTGTATGTTCGTAGAAATTAAGAGAGCGTCATTTGATTTTTCTCCAATAGTCTTTGAGTCGTTTCTGTTGAAAAGGTCCGAGTGGAGACTGTGGACAGAAGATTCATATCATCCAGAATGATTAGTTAGTAGGGTTAATCGACCCGGCCCAATAGGAAAATGAAAATCCTAATTCATTGGGCCTTTCGACACAATCAAATAGAAAGCCACCAAGGGCGCCATATTCTAAGAGTCCAAATTATGTGGTTCAATAAATCCTCATCTATCTCTTGTAAGCCGAGGGCTCCTTTTTCAAACTCCAATTCGTATTTTTCATAGAGAAATCTATCATCAAGGATATTCTTTTTCTTCTATATTCATATTAATTATGAATAACAAAAAAAATGAAAAGTTAATAGCGAAGATTGTCGAAATTCAGGAAATTCATATTTCTCCGCATATACAATTGCTCTTATGTGAGCCCGCTTAGCTCAGAGGTTAGAGCATCGATGGTCATCGGTTCGACTTCGATAGCCAGATAGAGATAGGTATTGGTTTTGTTGCTTACAAAGCATTTAAATTGTTTTAGTTGCAATTAAACCATACAAGTCGACTTTCGGTTGTACCGTTATATTTTTCATTCTTAAACTTGAAGATAGGTAGCAAAATGAAAGTTTACGCCTCAATTTACACAATTCCATGTTTCGTCACATTCTTCCATCTTCGTTTCGGTATTACTAGCGCTCTGTTTAATTATCTTATGGCCTTCTTTATTCTTTTCATGAAATTTGATATTTAGCATACAAATATAATATTTTCATTAAATTGTGTTGTTTTGAATTAATTTTCTTCGTTGTAGGGATTTATTGACGTACTTTTCCATTTATTTTGTGTGAGTATATGTTTGAATCTTAATATGTTGGTTGGAGTTATAAGGGAAAATTATTGTCCATAGATAACTGTGGATACCCCAAACCCGAACGGTTGAGCAATCGACGGGATATATTTGCTCACATTAGGGCTAAGAGAAGGAATAACTTTTTACTATTGTTTTCGGATTTAAAATACAATAACAAATGAGTTGTAGTCTAATGAAAAGTATGTTTACTAATAGTAACAACGACCCGAGTTTAAATTACATAGGATACCACTTAAATATTTTTATTTACCCATACGCAAACTACTACTTGGGGTTGGATAATCATTTTTCTAATTTTTAGGGGTATCTCACTACCACTTAAATAGGTATTTCAACCCATACACAAACTACTATCGAGAGTTGAATCAGGGGCGGATACATGCATGTCTAGGGGTGTCCCGGGACACCCCTAAAATTTGGAAACACGATTATTCAACCTCCGATAGTAGTTTGTATATGAGGGGGAAAAATGTTTAAGTGGTAGTGGGACACCCTTAAAATTTGGGAAAATGATTATCCAACCTCCCATAGTAGTTTGCGTATTAGTACAAATAATATTTTAGTAGTAGTTTATGTGATTTAAACTTGAGACACTGCCACTATTAGTAAACATATTTTCAACCTCATTTGTTATTGTGTTTTACATCCAAATATAATAGTAAAAATGTTATTCTTATCCCAAATTATTTTTAAAACCTAACGATTAAACCCAATTACTGGATACCTTTTTCTAGTAGGATATGTCGAAAGATCATTGTTGAGCAGTATAGACACCGAATGTATTTTACCATTTTATAAAACATTCTGAACTTTTAATGTAACTTTTATTAGTCAGATATTTTCATATTTAATAATTATTTAATTTAATTTTAATATTTAATTGAATTTTTGAAGATGACACCCCTATGCAGAATTTCCGAATCCGCCACTGAGTTTAATAATTATTTTTCCAAAATTTAAGGGTGTCCCGCTGCATGTATTCACCAACGAGAATAAAATCCAAACCATTTTAAGTAGGATAACGTGTATATATATATCCGCCCTTGAATCCGGCCAAAAGCCGTCCTTAAAATTACATGCAAAAATTACTATAACCAAAACACTACGTACGTACTACCCATTCCAAGGTCTCACTATTTGCGCTAACTACAATCTCCCCGTCACTCAGTGCCAACGACGATATACATAGAGATCATCCGCCGACGAGCTAGCTGAGTCGGGGACATGTACACCGTCAGATCTCCACAAACGACAATCTTCAGAGATCCTCCAACGAGACGAGAAGCGGATCCCGCTGTGGAGATGGTTGACTTTTGATTCGAGATTGGACTTGCTCGCTGTCTTGTTCATCTTCGAAAATATTGACCCAACTACCCAAACCGAGATAATAACTAATGATTCTGGATGATATGAATCTTCTGGAGAGGTCTCCACTCCGACTTTTTCAACAGAAAACGACTGCAAGACTAATATTGGACACAAACAAATTAATTAAAATGGCTTCCACAATTTCTACGAACTCGGTAGGCGCAGCAGACTCAAGCCTGGAAGTGGCATAGTTGACTGCAAAAACCCACGTCGTCAAGAACTCTATATATTCTTCGGGAAACCTACATTATAGTTAGAGAGTGTTTACAACGTTCATAATAACCTTCCGTCAACAACTCGAGTTATTAGAACCAACTCGTATAAGAGACTACAACGATGGACCCCGTGGGCGGAGCCCTCCTGGGGCTCGTTTTCCAGGAGCTGTACACCACCATCAAGCTGTACATGCACCCTTCCCTCACGCGCGCCTCCACGCTCCGCTCCAAGCTCGCCGTCCTGGCCGGGAAGGTGGAGCCGCTCAGCCGCCGGTTCGCCGCCATCGACGCGCGCTACCCGGAGTCGGGGGCCCACAGGGAGGCCCTGAAGCTGCGGGAGATGCTGGAGAAGGCCGACGCGCTGGTGCGTGACTGCGGCGGGATCCGGTGGTGGAACCTCCGGCGGAAGCGGCGGTTCTCCAAGCGCCTGACGAGGCTCGACGCGTCGCTGGGGATGCTGCTGAGCGTGGATTTTGGGCCTGGGGCGGTGATGGGACGGCTGATGACTATCGAGGCCCAGGTGGTGGAGATGAACGCGAAGTTGGACCGGATGTACGTGGGCCGGCAGGTGGGGCCCGCTCCGCCGTCGGGGAGGCGGAGCGGTGGTGGTGGGCGGCGGGGGATGAGGGTTGAGGTTCGTTATGAGAGGACGGAGAAGAGGACGTGTTTGAACATTTCGGTTTGTTGGGGTCATTGCTGCGGCGGCCATGATGATGACGACGACGACGAGGATGGCGACCGGAGAGGAGACTATCGCAAGCGGGCCTAATTAACTGGAGAAGGAGACTTGGGTTATGTATTCTTGTCTCTTGAGACGACTCTGCTCATTTGTATACTTGATTAAATTTGTTCATTGTCGTGTACGTGAAATAACAACCATGGTTTAATTTCCTACCAATTGTTACCGTTTTTTTTTTCATTTTGTGAAGGTTGTTAGTGTTGTGGTATATGATCCATGATTGAACCTCTCCCAACAACTCGAGTTATTAGGATCAACTGGTTCTTGACATGGTATCAGAGCCTTCTGTGACCGAGAGGTCTTGTGTTCGATTCCCAGTGACCCCCTCATTTGTTAAGCACATGGTATTCTTGTCTTCAGACCTGTGCAAACTTCATGCCCTTGTGAGTACGATTGAATCAACTGGTTCTTGACAAAGATAAGCACGATTATTGTTTTAAAAAGTGTATGCTAATTAGTACTCAGACTTTGGGATTGTTGATGTTGCTGGAGAGCTGCCCCTGATCTAATGATGTAGCAAGTGTTTTTATCCCTGCTAATGTATAACTGCTCCGCGGATATGCTGCTTGGAAGGGTTAAATCCATGCATAATTTGTGACTAAAACTTGACAACATTTGTATCGAAATCAAAACCGATGCTAAAGTTCATTACAAAATAGAAGCAATATAATTAGTGGCTATAGCTTGGTTACAAATACTCCGATCACTATAAAACAAATCCAACACGAAGGTCATTACTGAAATTCGTAACGTACCATATACCATTCATATTCTGAATCATAACATAATATGATTCGTTTTCCAAAATGGTGTTCTTTTACATGACTAAATACTAATCACCATAACATTCAAACATAGTCAAAGGCAAAATATTATGTTCATGATATTCTAAGTACTAAAAAAACCCGATTCAAAGCTACACCAAGTGTTGGTAGCCTCTCCAATCCAACAATTCTTCATAATTATATACTTCCATACAATTTTTCACACGACAAATAAACTGGACAAGCGCCATTTTTTCCCCATTATTCTGAGTCGGTTTCTGTTGAAAAAGTCCGAGTGGAGAGCGTGGACAGCGAGCAAGCTAGCTAGGCAGAACTCGAATCATTAGTTAATTAGTATCGTTTTGGGTCGTTGGGTCAATATTAACATGACTTAATCTTACATAAATCAAACGCAATTCTCTATATATAATACCTAAAAAATGCGTACATATTTGATACCACGATAGTTGTTGCTATGTGTTGCCATTGTAAGTGTTGATAGAGCATTTCTGTAACAAACTTCGTGGAGAACACACTTTGGAATTAGGTGAGTGATGATGATATTATGAATGGTTTTTCGGTAGGATATACATTAAGAATGACGTTCGTAACAGTTTGAATGATAAATGTATTTTAGATACTTTTCACAATATATGAAATGCCTCATGAATCATTATAGTTTTTTCTTATCATTTTAATATTGGATTACCTCAACTAGATTTTTGACCACGTCATTGGGAATGAGTATTAGTAGTTTCGCAAATTTAAAAGTATTGTATTGCTTTGGGGGCGCAGCGTTGCATTCTCTGTCATTGCTGCCATACCCCAGCTCCAGCTTGACCGACGATGACTTGAAAAAAAGAAGAGAAGAAGGAATCATTCTCCGCTCGCCGCCGCCTACGCAACTTAGGGTTCCACCTGCCCAATCTGATCGGCATGCAGAAAAGAACCCAACCAAAAGAAGAAGAAGAAGAATTGATTTTGCCTCAACCGATTTTCCTCTTTTGGCCATATCCAAGCATTCGAAGAATAGAGGAAGAAAGAAGGAGAGAAGAGAGGGCATAAAAATGGATCAATGCGTTATTCCGAAATAACGATGCCCCTCGATTATTTGTTATAACGTGATTTCGCGTTATTCTCAAATGTCACAGCCCCAAATAACGCATGAAGAAAAATTGTTGCCAAACAAATTATTTCTGCCAAATAACTCAAGTTGATTATTCCTAACTTTCAATAAGTTCGCTAACGCGTCTACATTACCATTAGGAATCTCAAGTAGAATTGCCTCTTGAACCAAAATTCTCCATGCAATTTGCATTATAGGTTAATCCATAGAAGCAAAGACCCAAACCGATACTAATGCTTCTAGATGCTATATAAGAATCTTTCTGTTTCCTCCTCGATTTTCAACCGAAACGAATCCGCGTACTATTGGAGGGAAGAAAAAAAAAAGTGGTAGCAGACAGTACTACTCAAGCGTGGAAGTGGCGTAGTTGACTTCAAAACAGGGTCAACACAGCGAAAAAAAGAGGTTAACAGAAGGAAAAATAACTAATAAGAACTCGATCTATATGGTTAGATCGTGTTCAATTTGTATCATCATTTTTATGCTCTTTTTTTTTTTGTTGCAAACTTAAAGAACGATTATTGTTGTAAAGTGTTATTATTTGTTGAATGAAAATTTGTATGGGGTGTGGAACGAAGAGAATTTAGGAGAACGAAGGATAAAATACAAATTATTATTGAATTCCAATCTTCACATATCATTAAACGAAAGACAAGATATATACTTATAGGCTAGGGAAACAAAAAAAAAAAAAGTCCCAATCCTCTTCCTACTAGGTCGGCGACCACCCTCTCCTTTTTTCCTAACCAAAACATGAAACCCAACCTACGAGGAAATAATAATAAACTCCTTAGCAAGAATCCAAATCCCTACTTAAATATTGAAAACAATAATAAGGAGAAATAATAATAAAAGACTAAGTAATAAGATATGCAAGCACAGATTGAGGCCCAATAGTTATGATGGTTTGATTCTCGCAACATATACCTTGATTTCAAGATCCTTATACCGAATGTGAGTCAAAATAAAGTTAAATTTTATTCAATTTGCGACGCTTACGAGCAAAGAATTGATTCAATAATTTCTTATACTCAACTCGTGAACTAATTTGTTTTGAGTTCTTGAAATGTCTTTAATATAGTAGCTGGCAATCCAACTCGACTTTCACTTTATGAGCAAATCAACATTTAGGAGCACGCCCCCCCCCCCCCTCCACATTTACTAATGAAATGAGACGAGTTGAGATATTTTCAGCTTGCAATACTCGTGAACCAACTTGATTCAATAATTTGTTCATGAACTAAATCGTAAAACGATCTTGAAACATAATAATTTGTTCATGAGATCTTGAAATGTTTCAACATAATAACTACCAAGTCAATTCAACTTATGACATAGTTAAGAGTTGATTAAGTCAGCAAATTAATCTGTCTTATAAGTTAGTTTATTGATCATTGATAATTCATGAATTATTATGATGTTTACGACTCCAGTATGTGAACCCTTCCTGCTTCAACAGCCAGACTTTCGTACTCATTGCCCATTATATAGGAAGTTATGAATACGAGAATAAGGAATCCAATTGAAAAGGGGAAAAAAAACAGAATAAGGAATCCAATTGAAAAGGGAAAAAAAACATAGAACCCTACGTGAATAAGGAATCCCACTAAAAATGGAAAAACATGAACCCTACGTGAATCGAACACGCAACCTTCTGATCTGGAGTCAGACGCGCTACCATTGCGCCAAGGATCCTCATTCTTCTCAAAGTCCTAATGTTAGTGAAAGTATATCAATGATTTGTCATTTTTTATTTTTATTTTATAATGGATCTCAATTCTTCGTCTTCGCCAGACTGCGTTTTAGACCAGTCCCGGAAGTTATTTCATCATCACCATCACGTTAATATACACTGGCATATATGGCTAAAAGTACTGCCCCTAAAAACAATTCCCCCCACCAAAACCCTAATATTTCACCTAGCTAGAGAGGACATATAAACACGACATCATGGCATGCGCTTAGTTTATTCCTCTTGCATGCATGGATATGCTACTCCACCTTCTCCTCCTTTTGATCTTCGTTGTTGTGGTTGTCGTCCTCATCCCTCGACTCCACCTCCTCCTCGCGCCCTTTCTCGTGGCGATCCTCGTCGTCCCTCGGGGAAGCCACGGCCACAAACTTCCCCTTCACTCTCCGAATCACCGTCTCGTTCACCACGGTGAGAACCTCCAAGGCCTTCATCTGAGCCGCCACCCCGGATTGCAGGATCCTCCCCTCGTTCTTCTTGTACACCAGTGGCAGCGTCATCACCATCACAACACCTGCTCGTGCGGACAAACGAAATTTTCAAACGAACAGCGCGGGCGTGTAAGAGAGCGATACAAGACTTACATGTTTAAGGAGGCGAGGCGTGTGCAAGAGACAGTGGCGGACCCAGAAATTTTCATCAAGGGTATTCAAAAACGAATCAAAATCTCTAAGGGTTGTCAAATAATTTCAAATCCATATACTACCATCACTAAAATCAAATTTTACACTAGTAATATGTCCAAATTTTGCATTTTAAGGTCTGTCAATTGACAAACCACTCTTGCAAGTGGGTCCGCCCCTGGCAAGAGAGCAATATAAGATCCATAATTAACCTTCTTCCAACAACAACAACTCGAGTTATTGAGACCAGTTAGTTTACTGGCAAACACATTCGATAGAAAAAAAGAGGGACGGTTCGTAATGATCCACCTGAATAAACCAGCGTAAGGAAATCCACCAAGTTCCCCACATATGCCAGAAGCCATAGCACGGCGACGAGATGAGTCAACACTCTCCAGTCACCGTTCGTGCTCATCCGGACCACGCACTGAAGCACGAGCTCGACCGCCGATCCAGCCGATCTGGCCGCCTCCACCACTCTCTCCTCCCTCAGGAACTGCCTGTCCATCAGATCCGGCTCTTCCCTGGACATCCCAAAACATAACTTCAATTACAAAAGAGGGTGACGAGATGATGAAGAGGGGAAAAAAAAAAAGAAATTAGCTTTGTCTAAAAAAAAACTTCAGTACTTCCGGAAGATCCTATAGAGGTGTCCGTAGAGGTAGAGGGAAGTGACGACGGCCAAGCCGACCCACGAAACGACGGTGACGACGTTGAATTCGTAGATTTCGAACAGAACCCAGGTCGCCGTGGCCACCGAAACGACGAGGGCGCTCGATATCGGGCGCCTCCAGAGAACTATGTCGCTCACCGTGGCGGCGGAGCCTTTGGTCGACGGGAGGAGCGGCGCCGTGGATTCTGAAGTGTGCGACGACATGCTTGGAAAATCTCCCGGCGGTGGTAGTTAAACAAAAATTGACAAGTGGAGTAAAAGTTGAAGAGCGAAAGTGAGATTTGAAGGGGTTTGGGGAAGCGGGTAGATGGTTACACGTGGACGGAAACGTGGAGGCCGTACTGCGAGGTGGCAACTGGCAAATGCCACGCGGCATGAGGGCAAGGGGAAAGATACGTCAATATATATTTTTGGGTAAATACAATATATTATCCATAACTATTAAGTAGCGGGAAATTATAGCCACAATTATCGAAATACAAATTATTAGCCATAACTATTGTTGTGGGTTAAGATTTGGCTAACAGCCCGTTACTGTTTTCAAATTTTTAACGTAGAAGGCCATGTCAGCATCGTAAAAAATATGATATAATGACTGCCACGTGGGAGCCAGCTCACCATCGTAAAAGTTTAGTCATCATTACTAACAGAAGTGTTAACGAAAACTTAACGATTGGCTAATAATTTGTATTTCGATAGTTGTGGCTATGATTCCCCGCTGCTTGATAGTTATGGATAATATATTGTATTTGCCCTATATTTTTTTTCTTCTCTTTTCTTATTTGACAATTGTGTATCTATCCACTTACGAGAGAGGAAGAAAGATATAGGTTTTATGTTTTTTCGGTTGGTGCTTCATGATTTACAATCGTTTGCATGGAGATAGAGGTGACAAATTAAGGGTTAATTGAATTTAATTAACCATGCAATTCGTCTATGTTCATCTAATCTTGATCATACTGATCAAGGAAACCACGTAAATATATACTTGTGCGATTTCGTTTCTAGCTTGATTAATCTTCGCTACGATAAGTTAACATTTACCACTTCCGATCGTCATATATGAATTCCGGCCACCATATTTGTATCCGTCCACAATACTATACAAACATGGTTTAGTTTGAATACCAAGTTGAAATTTTTTTGAAACATGTGTAAGTGGAGCTCGGGTACTATGCACATAAGCTACGGTGTGTTCATTTTGCAAATAAAATTTATGATACAAACTGATGAATTTGTATCCCAAATTCAGTTTATATAAATGTATTTTCTTACAGATTTGTTTATGATACACACCGAACAATTTGTAATTATAACTTCTTGTATAAAACTTTTTTTAAACAGAAACTAAACAATTATACGTTCAATGTTATCGATACAAATTCAAACTTGTAGATGAGAGTACTAATTAAAGTCACTTGTGAGCATTCATAAAATTCCTCTTCTGAATGAAGGAGATGCATGGGTCCTCCGTATCCTTCCATCAAGCTAATTAAGTTGAAACTTTAGCACAAAATGAATAATTGCCTGTCGCCATGGGAGAAAACAGAGCTTTCCAGACGATCGTTTTTTTCTTCTTCGCCACGCACAGCTGGATAAAACCCGTGTGGAACCCACTCCACTCCTTTCGGTTTTTGGCCTAGAAAAGGATGTGATTAAAGATAGACAATTAAAAACTCGGATTCGAAGAAATCATTTAGTTTCAGTAATTTGGGTTGTTAGAAAAATATTTATTAAGTTTTTATTTCTTACACTTTCCCTTAAATAAAAGCCTACCAATTTTTTGGGACTTTTGTAGTGTGCACATGTTAAATATATCATTTCTTGTGATGCTAAACCATTAGATAAGATTGATTATATCATTCATTATGCTAAACAATTTTTTAAATTGTAGGTCTTCATAAGACTATAATACCATGTTAAGGAACAAACAACTTATTTCCAATAATTCGAGTTGTTAAAAAAATATTTGTTAAAATTTTCTTTCACAATTCGATTTGCTTAAATTGGACGGAATTTAATGTTCATGATTTTTTTAGGTTGGGTGTGGGTTTCACCTTTTGTTTATGAGAGTGAAATTCGTTTATTTTTATTATTGCATGTTACTTAAAGAGATTCGAAACAGATGCCTCCGAGTTGAATACCAACAGTAGTACCGATAGACCAAGGTCTTGTCCACGGGGTTTACCCTCTTTTGAAATCGATGGGTTGGATAGGATGCGAGTTTTTCTAACACTCAGTTTGCTCTCCACAAAAAAAAAAAAAGCAAACATAAAAATACAGAAACAAAACGATGTCATTCTGTATCCAACTCTTGTAATAGGGATACTTATAAAGATGTTATTATTCTTTACCACAATATGATCTTCATAATATGGATTACTTATGAATGCGCTATCAGTCTTTATAGTATTATTATTATAGTTGTATAACTTTTTTTTTATATTATAAAAATTTGAGTAGTTAAAGTCGTGCACTATATATATCGACTCATAGATACCAGTTGGATTGAGTGATTTTTCTTTTCCAAAATTAAGAAAATATGTCAACCCTAGAGCCTCCACCGACTGCAATCACAATATCACATGGGGGAGCCCATTTCATTAATTACCAAATAAACAATTTCCACCATAATTAAACAAGGGAAAGTTGGTGACCAAACAACCGCAGCTGGATATGATTCCCTTCCTAGTACAGTGTGAGAAAACAGAAACACCATTATTTTGGCTTAGCTACTGGTGGTGGCCTTATATTCCAGACAATCCACTATTCAAATAAATAAATAAAATAAAAATCCAATTTCTTTACTCCATCTTAACAAATTACTATTTTTTTACGGGGTAAAACAATGTAGATATCATGCAAACTGTTTCTATGTTTAGTGGTATTTTACATCGTTGTTCACAGACTAAGAAAGAAAATATTCAAACTCAATTACTCAACTAAAAATGGATGTAGACCAAGACCAAAAAATCTGGCTGAGTTTTAATTCGCATTTTCGTTTGTACAACGCATTCTCGAAGTCCACCGAAATTCGCCAATAACAATGAAATACGAGACACATAGAACATGATCCGATTCCGAGAGTATAAAAGGCAAAACGGGGTCCAAAAGGAAACGAGACAACAAAGAACTCCATTGAGATTACCAGCTAGCATGCAGGACCAGACAAACAAAAGAACAACATATTGAATTGAAGAGAAAAGCAAGACATTAATCAACCGCGATTATGGGGAAATTATTTTATTAATATTTGCTCATCAAAACATGAATTAAGTACTGTTTTTCTTCTTCTTTTTTATAATTCTTCTGTTTATTTTTCTTTTCTTGTTCTTTTCATGTCCTCCAATGGTTGAGTCAGTTTCAACTAGAAACCCTACAATGGATACTCACAAACAACATTCCAATCTCATTGTGCAAGTTGCCTTGATAGTAGAAAGATCAGTTACATACATGATACATGCACACATGTGATGTACCTACTTCAGAAACTCTCTCCAACAGAAATAACAATTTCATTTCTTCATATAGGACGGATTATAGAGCATTGGCTTCGTTGGCAAACGAGTTGTTGGTAACTGACTGGATTGCCTTGAAGACATATGGATTGTTCAAGTACTTGGCCACAACTAATTAGCTATGTGTATGGAAGAAAAATCCATTAACAAAACACGCTAATATCAGCTATATAACATCACAAGAGGAACACTTAAATAGGGCTTACTCAGCCTTTAACATCTCGGAACAAGTAGAATCGCGTCGTAAACCTGTTGTTTAGTAAATCAAGAACAAGCAGAAGGACATTTGGAACTGAAATTGCAGACAAGAATCAAACATTGCGTAGACTTACAATTCATCTCAAGACTTGACCCATCTGAAGTTATATCATTTTGTTTTAAATTGTTTATTACGAGTTTTTTTATACCTCCAAAACGGCGTGCCACTTTGGTTCAGTAGGTAGTGAATCAAATTAACCATTACGTTAATTGAATGTTTAGCCGGTTAATATATTATGCATGACTTAATTATTTTGTCATATTGATATGATCGTTAAACGATAACGGTTACCTTAGAGTTGAAATATAAATTGCAAAAAAAAAATTAAAATATGAGAGCTTCAATTTCGATCGTGTGACTTCTACTTGTATTTTAGCAATATTCAATTTCACAACTGATAAAACAATTTGTTTTCATAATGGAAGCTAGGCTGATAGTCTGTCTCATAACAATTTGTTGATCACCATCCCGCGGGAAAAGGCAAACAAACTAACAACATTGTTTTCAATTTTTTTTCTTGAACTAATACTTCACTTGTTTACTCTTTGAATCTTTTTCTTCGCATGATTAGTTGGACTTTTCGAACGAAAGAAAGGAAGAACAACGAAAAGATGCTAAAAGAAAGTGAAAACCAAAGAACTTCGGTTTGAAGCAATCCCAACAATCATTCATTTCATGGCTTCCCAAAACGCGTGGATTGAGCCGTAATTCCGAGCTGCCACCTCCTTTCTTCTTTTGTAAAGCCGTAATTGGAACCTTTAAATGATCACCAGCAATCATTTTTTTGGCATTAGAATATAAGGAAATGGTCTCTTGAAAGGTTAAACTTGGTTTCAACATTCCTGATTCCACGCAGTAACCCAGTAAACCGACCTTTCTTCCCCACTTATTTAAGTCCCCTTCATTGGCTTTCTCAGCTCCCAAACCAAACCCTTCTCGTATAAACCCTTTACTGCCAAACCCTTTTCTGGAAACTCTGGGTATCTTCCTCTTCTTCACATTTCATTGGACAGCTCGATCAAAGTTTCCATTTTGAGAGTGAGGTTACTGGTTTTTGGTTCTTCTTGAAGCTGCCAGTGGGGAAAGCCTGTTGTTTTTTGCAGATCCAAAATGGGGAAGCCAGTTCTGCTCCACTCGTTACTACTCTCCGGACTGCTTCTGCTGGCAGTTTTGGATGTTTCATTGGTGAATGCAGACGACCCATATCGTTTCTACACTTGGACTGTCACTTATGGCACCATTTCTCCTCTTGGAGCTCCTCAACAGGTGGGTGATTTTGGCTACTTTGAGCACATTTTGTTGATTCTGGGAAATGGGTTTGGTTCAAAGTGTCTGAAAGTTTACATCTTTGTTCTTGTTTTTGCACCTCTCAGGTGATTCTCATCAATGGGCAGTTCCCTGGTCCTCAGCTGGATGTGGTCACTAATGACAACCTTGTCCTTAATCTCATCAACAAGCTTGATGTGCCTTTCCTTTTGACCTGGTAAGACTTTGATTCTTAACCTCCCCATAGGATGTATAACATTTTGTGGTTTGGATCATTGTTTGGGATGATGGATGTTTTGTGCAATGTTTTCTAGGAATGGGATTAAGCAAAGGAAGAATTCATGGCAAGATGGAGTTCTGGGAACGAATTGCCCAATCCCTCCTGGCTCCAACTACACCTACAATTTCCAACCAAAAGATCAGATTGGGTCCTTCAACTATTTCCCATCTACTGGTTTCCACAGAGCAGCTGGTGGTTATGGAGCCATCAATGTGTACCAGAGGCCCAGAATCCCAATTCCTTATGCTACTCCAGATGGAGATTTCACTCTGTTAGTTGGTGACTGGTACAAGACTGACCACAAGGTGAGTTAAAGTATTTTTTTTTTTTTTGCGTTCTTTCAATGTTGCAGTCAAGATGAAGTCTTCAGTTTGAGTCAACAATGCTTATGGCTTGAGTCCAAGAAATGTCATATAAAGCTTTGACTAATGAAATGAGTCTTAGTATGAAATGAGTGTGCAAGTGAATCAAATGCCTGGAACCGTCAATATGTAGAACAAGCTCTTAAGAATATTGGGGGAGGCTGACTTGTGCTTTGTCTTATGTCTTCTTGTTTGCATTATGTTCTGTACTCATTATATTGGTGTTTTGACTGTTAGTTGAGAACATTGTACATTATGATCCTCTTTTGTATTACAGGCATTACAGGCTTCTCTGGATTCAGGCAATTCTCTACCTTTACCAGATGGTGTCCTTATAAATGGCCATACCCAAGCCACCTTCAGTGGTGATCAAGGTAACTCCCCCTGTCACTACCAGTCCTTCTAAAGACTCATATTGTTCTTTCAGGCCACTCATTGATCTTATTCTTTGTCATATTCTCTTTTTGCCTACAGGCAAAACCTACAAGTTCAGGGTCTCTAATGTAGGATTAAAGAATACCTTGAACTTCAGGATTCAAGGCCACACAATGAAGCTGATCGAGGTTGAAGGTTCTCATGTTGTTCAGAACATTTATGACTCTCTGGATGTGCATGTTGGCCAATCTGTCAATGTCTTAGTGACACTGAATCAAGCTCCCAAGGATTACTACATCGTTGCATCGACTCGTTTCACACCGAAATTGCTTGTGGCTTCTGGTGTTCTGCACTACACCAACTCCCAAACTCCTGTCTCTGGACCACTTCCTGCTGAACCAAGTTACCAGCTTGATGGCTCCATGGAGCAAGCCAGAACATACAGGTACCCTAATTCACCTTAATAAGATAATTGAAGAAGGGGTTTAAAAAAGGTTTCTTGTAAAACAAGCTATATAGCAACTAATTCGATGAGTCAAATTCTCATTGCAGGTGGAACTTGACAGCAAATGCAGCCAGGCCAAATCCTCAGGGCTCTTTCCACTATGGAACGATTACAACTACAAAGACAATCATATTGTCGAACTCAGCACCTTTGATTAACGGGAAGCAACGCTACGCAGTTAACGGGGCCTCATATGTCAATGCCGATACTCCATTGAAGCTTGCTGACTACTTCAACATCCCTGGAGTTTTCAGCACTAGCTCACTCCAAACCGTGCCTAGTGGTGGTGCTGCAACTGTTGCCACTTCTGTCATCCCAACTTCTCTCCATGATTTCATTGAAGTTGTGTTCCAGAACGACGAGAACACAATGCAATCATGGCATCTTGATGGATACGACTTCTGGGTTGTCGGGTAGGCCTCTCGAAACTTCCAAAAGTGGCAAAGTCCAAAACTTTACTCAACTTTAGGTAAATTCCAATCAAGGGTCTTAACAATTTTCTGGTTTGAATACTCTGCAGCTTTGGTTCTGGTCAATGGGCACCAGCTAAGAGAAGCACTTACAACCTTGTTGATGCTCTCACCAGACACACCACTCAGGTAAGAAAGTGACCTGACAAAAAAACAATCGCTGATCATAAGCTCCACTCAACTAAGGGATCATTCAATTTAATCGGGGAGATTCGATTTGTGATCGTGTTGTTGCAGGTGTATCCAAACTCATGGACAGCCATATTGGTGTCATTGGACAACCAAGGGATGTGGAACATGAGGTCTGCTATATGGGAGAGGCAATACCTTGGACAGCAGTTCTATCTCAGGGTTTGGTCTCCGGTTCAAAGCCTTGCCAATGAATACTTCATTCCCACCAATGCTCTCCTTTGCGGCAAAGCTGTTGGGAAGAGTCATTAAAGTGACTGCAGTAGAAAGGAAATCATTGCTATTGTCTGGTGTTCTTCTTGGTCATGAGAGGATGGCTATCAATGACAAAGACAACGCGGTGGAAAAGAGTGAGATAGAGAGCACATTTGATTCATTGACAGCGTTGTTGTACACCGCAGTTAGAGCTTGGTTCTTATGTATGATTGATTCTTTCACTTTAAGCTTCCATTAACACTTTATTCGTATGAGGAATATATAGAGCATGATTACATATAATAACTAATTATGGAAATATGATCGGAGTGTGCTTTGAGAATCCAATTTTTCTAAAAGAAACATTATTCGGCTTATACCCTTTGTTGTCTGAGAAGGCCAGAAATGATGAACAGGTTAACAATTGGAAGAGCGAAAGAACACTGACAACCTTACAATAGAAAATGTTGAAAGTATGAGAGATCAATTCAAAGAGTGATTTGGATTTAGATTGATAATTTTTTTTTTATATTTCTGAGTGATGGCAAGATTGATAGTTCAGTGAAATTTTTCTTTTCATTCTCTTATTTGTTGAGAAACCTTTCACTAAAGAGAGGGTGGTATAGTTTATATTATTTTTCAACATTTTTGTTTGAAGTGTGTACACCTACCCTTTAGAGGGGAAGTAAAACATCTTTGAAACCCATTAACAAATCACGGTGTCATTTGTGTCATCTATATTTAGATTGTATTGAACTATATCGAAGTATAATTTTATTCGATGAGATAGAATTCTCAAACTAATGAATTCTTGAAATCAGATGCATGGGTTCTCTTAAATAAAAAGAAATGATTTGATATGATCAAAACAAAACCGTTCAAGTTGAATCGAACGAATATTCAGTGAAATTAATTCCATCAATTTTCCTATATTTTTCACTAAATTGAAAAATCAACCTTAAAAATTGAAATGAAAAGTGAATGAGGCTTTGAAAGAAGCTAGTGTTTCTACCAAAAAAAGAAGAAGCTAGTTTAAGTATTGTAAATGTTGTGTTGAGACTTTCAAAATGTCACACTATAAGTGCCTTAATAGCATTTGTGACCTTAAACGTTTAGTTGATGGTTAGATAACACATCATTGCAACATGTAACAATACTAATATTAAATAATATTTCTAGAAAGCTATATTTATTAAGAAATTCGAAATAAAATATATTGTCAACTAGTGAGCTCTTCGGTAGTACAATTCTCATTTCAAAAATTTACAATAAATTTGACATTATGCAAAAATCTACAATTCACATTCGAAATAATATTTCGTTGATCAGTGTTTGCTTAAGTTATCAATGATCCGATCGATGGTCAATTACCCGAAATTTAGTCTGCATGCGACAGTGAGTAATGCTTTTTCGTCGTAACAAAAAAGCTGAATTAACTCGGAGAAAAGTTTGCAGCATAACCAAAAATCCCAAATGGGAAATTGACTTTGCAATATTCCTTTCATGAGGTGGAATGGAACCCTAGTTGCAAGTTTGCATCCTGAGAAGGTCACAACTCACAACCAATACCTGCACCAAATAATTGCAGCAACATGATTCCAACTCCCAAGAGACACTGATTTTGATTAATCCTCACGTCCTGCTCCACTTCCCCGCCATTCTGGGGTCAACATTCCTCATATTCAACATTCTACTCTGTAACCCAGCGAAGCACACCTCCTTCCAAGCTCTGCCCTTATTTATAGTTTCTGAGCTGTGACCCCCTTTTTGCAGTAACTCTGAAACATACCTTCAAACTCTCTCCATATCTCTCTCGCTCTCTTTAGGTAATGCTCTTGTCCTTCTCCTCCACGTTTCCTGGTGGAACTTGAAAGCTGCTATTCTTGACAATGATGTTACTGCATTTGGCTTTCAAGTTGACCCTTTTTTTCTTCATTATTGTGTTGTCCCTTTTGTGATCCAACTGAAATCTCTGTTCTTCTTCTGCAGGTCCGAAAATGGGGAAGCAATCTTTGCTGCACTTGCTCTGTGGAGTCTGTCTGCTAGCTGTTTTGAGCGTTTCCTTGGTCAATGCAGAAAACCCATATCGGTTCTACACTTGGACTGTCGCTTATGGCACCATTTCTCCCTTGGGAGTGCCTCAGAGGGTTTGTGATTTCTAGCCACATTTTGCCTTTTCTGAGAAATGGGTTTGGTTCTGATTGTCTGAAAGTTTCCATCTTTGTTCTACTCTCAGGTTATTCTCATCAATGGCCAATTCCCTGGTCCTCAACTGGATGTGGTCACTAATGACAACCTTGTCATCAACCTTTTCAACAAGCTCGATGTGCCTTTTCTTCTGACATGGTAATGACTACTTTTCTTCTTCTTTTTGACTAGCTAGGGTGAAGGTTTCTTTAGGTTGATGTTCTGTGACAATGGTGAAATGTACAGGAATGGGATTAAGCAAAGGAAGAATTCATGGCAAGATGGAGTTTTGGGAACAAATTGCCCCATCCCTTCAGGGTCCAACTACACTTACAACATCCAACCAAAAGACCAGATTGGTTCCTTCACTTATTTCCCATCCACTGGCTTCCACAAAGCAGCTGGTGGGTATGGAGCCATTAATGTCAACCAGAGGCCTGGAATTGCTGTTCCTTATGCACCTCCTGCTGGGGATTTCACTCTCCTTGTTGGTGACTGGTACAAGGTTGACCACAAGGTGAGCCATCTAAACATGGTGGGTTTGGACTTCTGATATGATCATTGTTTTGTGCCTTTCTCAATGTTCTTTGTTTATCTCTGCAGAAGTTACAAAGTTCTATGGATTCAGGAAACTCTCTGATTCCACCCCATGGTGTCCTTATAAATGGCAAAACTCAAGCTACCTTCAATGGTGATCAAGGTAAATCCTAGAACTACCTGTTTCAGTTTACTCATTTGCTTTCATGGGATTCAGCAATGAAAACCTGTTATCTCTGTGGTTCACAGGCAAAACCTACAAGTTCAGGATCTCCAATGTGGGATTGAGTCTAACTTTGAACTTTAGGATCCAAAGCCACACCATGAAGCTAGTTGAGGTTGAAGGGTCTCATGTGATGCAGAACACATACGACTCTCTTGATGTACATGTTGGCCAATCTGTCACCGTCTTGGTCACGTTGAACCAAGCTCCTAAAGACTACTACATCGTTGCATCGACCCGTTTCACCACCAGGAAGCTGTCTGCATCTGGCATTCTGCACTACTCGAACTCCAAAACTTCGGTTTCTGGACCGCTACCTGCTGAGCCAACTTACCAGCTTCATGGCTCCATGCTGCAGGCCAGAACTTACAGGTAAGTTTAAGAAAAAAAAGTTCTAAAGGTTTCTTGTAAAACAAGCTATGATTCGAGTCAAAACTAAAATTCACATTGCAGGTGGAACTTGACATCAAATGCAGCCAGGCCAAACCCTCAGGGATCTTTCCATTATGGAACCATAAAAACAACCAAGACCATTGTACTGTCCAATTCAGCAACCAAAATCAACGGGAAGCAACGCTACGTGGTGAATGGGGTCTCGTATGTAAACCCCGATACTCCATTGAAGCTTGCTGACTACTTCAACATCCCTGGAGTTTTCAGCATGAACTCACTCAAAACTAGTCCTACTACTGGTGCTGCAACTCTTGCTACCTCTGTAGTTCCAACTTCCCTCCATGATTTCATCGAATTCGTGTTCCAGAACAACGAAAACACCATGCAGTCCTGGCATCTAGATGGCTCTTCCTTCTGGGTTGTTGGGTAGGCCTCTCAAACACTCCCAGATTCCAATTCTTTCCTTAACCTTACAGTAAATGTCAATCAAAGGGTCTCAACTCTTGACCAATTTAGTTGTTTTGAACATTCTGCAGCTTTGGTTCTGGTCAATGGACACCAGCTAAGAGAAACACTTACAACCTTGCTGATGCTGTTGCCAGACACACCACTCAGGTAATAAGAATGCCACTTTACAAACACGAAATATCGTCGAACATGAACTTCAATCTGATTTCCAATGCTCATTGCAGGTGTATCCAAACTCATGGACAGCCATCTTGGTGTCATTGGACAACCAAGGGATGTGGAACATGAGATCTGCTATATGGGAAAGGCAATACCTTGGCCAGCAATTCTATCTCAGGGTTTGGACTGCAGAAAAAAGCCTTGCCAATGAATACAACATTCCTTCCAATGCTCTTCTCTGCGGCAAAGCTGCTGGGAGAAAACCATAGAAGCTGATCGGATGAATGAATAGAGTTTAATGCTGATCTTCTTAGTTAGGCCATGAGGGGATGGCTGGAAATGAAGAGAACAAACAAACAGAACAAGACTGAGGGAGGAATTTGAGACGAAACACAGTTACAGAACAATGTTGGATTTGTTGAATTGTTTATTGTTTTGTATTAGAAGTTTTACAGTACGATCTCTACATGTAATGATTCTTTTTTACTTTTAACATTTCATTCAATTGAGGGGAAGGTGATAGTAGTTTGATTACGATATGAAAACTACTATGTTTGTGTATGTAAAGAAAATTTATTTTGAATTGCGTCATACAAAATAATGAATTTAGTACCGAATTTCCAATAAAGTAGGATAATGGAAATGATTAAAGAGCTTCAAATCTAACTTTGCCAAACGAGGACATAGCACCTCGAGGGTTAGACTTTCCACCAAAAACCCTACAAACTTTACTAATGGAGGATGAAGAAGAGTCGATGAAATCAAATAACACATATAGTTGAGGTTATGTAATATGGAAATTCAATGCGAGATGGGTATGAGTAGTGAATGAGATCTTCAAACCCATATATACTCGATTAATCTAAGAATTTTCATCGACGGCATATTTGAGTAGGATTAGGTACTCTGATTGCGGTTGAAATTATAATATATACCTCCTCTATGTCCGAATCACTTACACCATTTGCTTCGCACGTGGACTACCTTACCCAATATGGCCTGACCTATTTTGGGCAGAAATAACCACCCCCATGGTTCGTGAATGGGGCGAGGTGGGAATTTCCTACCACCGTCTGACTTGTCCAATTCTCAACCCGTTGTGTCCAAACTATGTGTACCTTCAATCAAGTTACTGAAAATTTTATTTTGTTATCTCATATGTTTAGCTTTAAATTATAATGAGATGAGAAGTTCCATTTTTTTCCTGATACTTTAACTCCATTTATCACGTCAAAATTTATTTCTCAATTTTTTTAATGAATAATTAATATCTAAATATGATTTGGTTTGATGGCATATATAATTCGGTGCGATTTGGTTTGGTCGCATATATGATTCGGCCCATCACACTAGTACTTCAAATCCAAGAAAGGGAGCACCCGTTTTGCCGGGCCAGTGATTGGGAAACTCGTGTTGGGCCAATCAATTGAAACGGTTGAATGGGCCAGTTTCGGGAGATGGAGCTGCATGCAACTCAAAACTCCAAAGTCCAAACCCAGAAGATCATTTAACAAAGGAAATGCTTACATTTTTTTTTTTTTGCATTAAGGGAGGCCAAAGCCAAGAAACAAGAACAGCAAGGGGGGAGGAGAAACAAAGACTAAGAGGAGGAAGGCGCCACAATACGGCGGTCAAAGGACACCCCCATAAGATCGTCCTGTAAAATCTGTACTAACTCTCTAGGAGGGTTAGTCAGCTCATGCATACCGTAGGGATAGACGAGACTGTGCTTCGAGAGCCAGTCCGCGGCTCTATTCCCTTCTCGGTATGTATGAACTATACTAACCAACCAATCCTGAGCAAGTTTCCTCCGAATAGACGCTAAAAGAGCAGCATACGGGTGCACCGGATCATGGCGATTATTAATGAGGAGAATCGCCAGCTGAGAATCCGTCTCGACCACAAGATTGTTAACACCAAACTTCCAAGCAAGAGTAAGCCCATGGTAGAATGCCCAAAGCTCGGCCAGAGCCGCAGAAGCTTCCCCAATCTTTGCCACAAACCCTGCAACCCACCGTCCCTGAGCATCACGAATCAGCCCGCCTGCACCAGCAAGACCCGGATTACCCGCCGATGCGCCATCAATGTTAAGCTTAAACCATCCCTGCTGCGGAGCATTCCACTGGATGCTAGCCGTCACTCGGTTCCCTCCTGGCTCCCGATTGCTAGTTCCCAACAGAGGAGCGCACCACGCCTTATACCACAAATCCGACTTCAGCTGAATAGAGTGCAACAGAGAAGGTGCAGTCAGCGCCTTCTGCGCTCCTTGGAACACCGTTGTGCACCTGTTTTTCCACAGAAGCCAAATGGTTATACTGAAGAAAGCACTCCAAGGCATACCATTCGCCATAGCTTTATCATTCAGTAAATTCCCTCGCAGCCAAGCTTCCTGATCGCTTGAGAAGAAACCAAGCTGTTCGGAGGGGGAAATGCTCCTGTTCCAGACATAAACAGCCGGAGGACAGTCTCTCAACAAGTGGAGCGTTGTCTCCGGGCAACTGTTACACCTGGAACACATCGGCGACGGCGCACACTTCCTGTAAAAGAGCAGGCTGTTAGTGGAAATCTTGTTCAGTGCCACCAACCAGCTGAAGCACCGAACTCTCTCGGGCACCGGGTTGCTCCAGATCTTCTTCCACAGCTTCTCGTCCTGATTTCCTTGCTGGGGCATGGCAATCTGGAAGGCCGACTTAGCAGTAAAATGACCATTCAGGGAAGGGGCCCAGAAGAGAGTATCACGGTCCGTAGAGAGAACATCCACAGCCACGGCCGTGATCTTCTGCTGAACGTCAACAGACAGCCACTGCGAAAACCGACTCACATCCCATTCTCCATTATCATCCAAATAGCTAGCAACTGTGTCCCTCAGTCTCTCCTCCGGAATGGGCTGCACAGCCACATCCTTTAAAGGAACCTGCAAAACCCACACATCACACCAAAATTTAGTGCTTCTACCATTCTGAATATTCCACGCACAACCTTTTCTGAGAAGGTGGGAAGCTTTGGTAAAGCTTCTCCAGGCAAAGGAACTTCCCTGAATAGGACGAAACATGTCAAGGCCCTCTCTCTGCTTTCCATACTTGGCGCTAAAAATCTGGGTCCAAAGAGACTCCTTCTCTTTGAGGATACGCCACCCTCCTTTGGCCAGAAGAGCAAGATTAGCCTGCCTAAGAGGCCGGAGGCCTCCACCCCCTTGAAGCCTAGGTTCCGTCATCTTCTCCCAAGGCACCAGGTGCATCTTCCCCTTGTCCTCATCTTTTCCCCAGACAAAATCCCTGTTAATCTTATCTATAGCATTGCAGACATTCTTAGGGATTAGTTCAGATTGCATAGAGTAGGTGGGAATAGCAAGGGAGACAGAACGAGTAACCGTTAGTCTCGCGGCGAGTGAGAGCCTCCTAGCTTTCCAAGGAGCTAGCTTCTTTTGGATCCTCAGAATCAAAGACTGGTATCGGCTCCTAGTAACCCGCCCATGGATAGCTTCAATGCCCAGATACCGGCCAAGATTAGTTACCAGCGGGATGGCAGCCTTGTCACTAAGCCGACGGGCTCTGTCTTGTCTGATGTTCGGAGAGACATAACAGACAGACTTCTCATAGCTCACCCTTTGTCCCGAACTGGCACAAAAATCATCCAAGCATTTTTTGATGACTCCTATCTGGCTCCCTTCTGCCTCTGCAAAAAGCACCAAATCATCCGCAAAAAATAAGTGAGATAAAGCAGGCCCCCTCGGAGACAAGCGAATGGGCTTCCACTGCTTATCCCGGACGGCCTGATCGATTCTATGAGATAGACGTTCCATACATAGCACAAAAAGATAGGGAGAAAGAGGGTCTCCCTGGCGAACGCCCCGAGTGGGAGTGATGATAGGCGTGAACTCCCCATTCCACAAGATTCGCATCCTGTTGTGCTCCACACAGTACATGATCCCCCGGATCCACGAACTCGGAAGGCCTACTTCAATCAAGGTGTCCCTCAAAAAGTCCCAACGAAGCCTGTCATAAGCCTTTTCGAGATCAACCTTCAACACCATTCCCCCCTTCTTCCCCCGCTTCTTCCGCAAAGAGTGCAACACTTCCTGAACAATAAGGATGTTGTCGGTCGTTTGACGTCCTGGGATGAAGCTGCTCTGCCTAGGAGAGACCAGCTTCCTCATAACCTCCTTCAACCGACAGGTCAGGGCTTTGGTAATTGCTTTGAGGCAGACGTTGTTGAGGGAGATCGGGCGAAGTTGGGTGACCGACTCAGGCTTGTCCACCTTAGGAATGAGGACCACCGTGGACTCCGTGACCGCTTCAGGCAACGTTCCCTGTTCAAAAAACAAAAGAGCCATATCAGTGAGCGCCTTCCCCACCACCGCCCAAGCTTTCTGGTAGAACAAAGCTTGGAAGCCATCTGGCCCCGGCGCTTGAAGCGGTTTCATCTCAAAAACCGCTTTGTGGATGTCGAGGATGCTGAAAGGCCGGAGAACATGGAGCCAGTCTTCTTGGTTCAGCCGCGGGAAATCTCCTTTTGGGAGGAGGTCAACATAGGGTGAGTTATCCTGCAAATAAAGCTCAGAGAAAAAGTTAAAAACAAGTTGCAACAACTCATCCTTCTCGCTGATCCATTCCCCATTAGTATTCTTAAGACAGTCAATCTTATTCCTTCGACGTCTAATGTTGGCAAGCTGGTGGAAATAGGCTGTGTTCCGTTCTCCAAACTTCACCCAATGCTCCCTCGCTCTCTGGAACCAAATGAGCTCCTCCTGCTCCATTGTCTTATCTAACTCCTTCTCTAGCTTCGTGTGCAGCTTGAGGAGACCTGGAGAGAAAGAGTTTGCCAGGCGTCGCTCTATCCCTTCAATCCTAGCAACCAACCTCTTCTTCCTTTGGTAGACATTCCCAAAGGTCGATGTATTCCAAAGCTGGAGCTTTTTGGAGAGATCCTGCAACGCCATAGGCAAAACATTAAGTGAGTCCCAAGAATCAGCAAGAAAAGAGGAAAATTCCTCATGAGTGAACCAGGCTGCTTCAAATTTGAAACGTCTCGTGGACAGGTTAGGGCCTCCCTGATTAGACACCGTGGTAAGAATCGGATGGTGATCGGAGCTCAGGCGCGCCAAGTGGGTCACCGACGTATTTGGAAACCCCTCATTCCAAACCAGGTTGCAAATGCTTCTGTCGATTCTGCTGGCTTTATAGGTGTCACTCTCCTTCCCCCTGGACCACGTAAACCGAGGGCCAGAGAAGCCGAGATCCACCAACTCTGCTTCATTCAGGAACTCTCCAAAACGCTTACATCTACGAAAGGTTGCTGGTGAGGGGGGCCCTGTTTTCTCATCCGGGTGCAGAATTGCGTTGAAATCGCCGGTGAGAATCCATGGGCAGTCCACTTGCTTGCTTTGCTCGATGATAGCATTCCAGAGAAGACGTTGAAGATGCTGGCGGGGGGACGCATACACTGCTGTGAGCATCCACGGAGCCTGGTTACCCTTCGACACTCTCACAGAAAGATGCTGCGACCCTGCCGAATCAACCTGCACACAAAAATTCTGAGAATTCCAAAACAGCCAAATCCCACCACTCCGGCCCTGAGCTTCAATTCGCAGGACATCCGGGAAACCCAGCTTCTCACAAACCCTGTTCGCCACTTCTCCACTAACTTGAGGTTCGAGAAGAATAACAAAATCCGGCCTGTGCAACTGCAGCGCAAGCTTCAGGGAACGCGAGAAGGAGCTTCCTCCGGCACCCCCGACATTCCACGAAAAAATTTTGAAGTTATAACAATTAAAACCAACCATTAAAAATGAAAAAACAAAGGGGAAGAACAGAAAGCGGAACAAAAAACAGAGGCAGAAAGCGCAGAGAGAAAAGGACGAGTTCACCGGGAAATCGCACTCGGCAGGACCCCCTCCTCAAGGTTCCCCGCCGCCGCATCCCTCACAAATCCCCCTGCCATCGCATCCCCCTTCTTCCCCTCTTCCGATTGAGTCTTCCCTGTCCATTCACTAATCTGCTGTAAGGTTAAAGCTACTCGCCGCTCTTTACTCTTGTTCTTCTTGTCTTTAACCGGTGACCAAAACTGCAGAGCTTTCATCGGGTTGTGGCGGAGTGGAGTCAGCTTCATAGGCGTCGAAGTCTTGCTCCCCTGACTTTTCTTTTTTTCCTTCTTTTGTTTAGTTCTTGAAACCGCCGACGGGACAGAGTGGTCGATAGTTCGCGGTGGAGGCAGCTCATAAGGTTTGACTTCCACAATTTGAATTTTGACCCCGTTCCCATTACTGGAGACATTCAATTCCTGCCTCTGATTCTTCTCGTTGGGTTGGGCTTCTTCTGCTGGGCGCGGAGTCTGTTTAGAGGATGAGGCCTCCTTGTTCTTACTGTTGATGGTGGGCTTGGGCTGCCCAATCACAAGGGGCTTTGGAGCAGGCCCCAAAATCCCATTGACTTCCATGTCCACGATCTCCTTCCCTTTACGTTCCTTACCCTTATCCGCCACTTTCCCCTTTTGCTTCCCTAGGTTAGAATCTTGGACATTTAGAGATTTCCCCTGATTCCTCCCAGATAGCAGAGGCGCCGCACCCACCTTTTCCATCTTAGCAACCGCTTCCTCTTTCCCTGAATTCCCCCTTTCCTTCCCGTTATGATTTCCCAATATTGGCTCCAACTTACCTTGTTTAGGGGGATCGCGAGAGTTTCGGCGGGACTTCCTTGACACCAGCATCCAAGGGCCGAAACCGGCTGGATCCTCCGGTGAAGCCACGGCCGCAGCGACCAACGGCGGTGAAGGCGCACCGGACTGAGAAGCGACGGTAAGAGCTTGTGAAAGAGACGGGCAGTTCAGCTTTGTATGGCCAATTTTGCCACATTCGAAGCAGACGATGGGAAGGTTCCCGAACTCAACTTTTTGCCATTTGCCATCCAGCCGAATTCGGGGGACTAGCGGTTTAGACAGGTCTACCTCCACCGCCATTCGAGCAAATTTTGCTCTTTGCTGGTTAGCTGTGTGGAAGTCAAGCTTGATCGCCCTGCCAATCATATTCCCCAGCGTAAACAAAAGTTCCTTGTGGTAGAAATGAACGGGGAAGCCTGGGAACTGAACCCAAACAACCATGGAGCTTGGGAGTTTGTCTGTTACACGAAAGGAAGGAGTCCACTGCTGCACAACCAGATAATGGTCATAGATTACCCATGGCCCATCTGTGAGCGCTTTAAAATAGTCCAAATCATTCTCCAGTTTCACCAGGAAACAATCTTGATCCAAAGCGAACACTTCCAATCCCGCCGTTGGACGCCAGAGGGAACGGATCCTGTTGCAAAGAGTGGCATATCCAATTGATCGGCCAAGCAAGCGTACCACCAAGGTCCGTTGCCATGGCGCGCTGAGCTTATTCTTGAAATTTTCCGATACTTGAAGCTCTGGTTCTCCGTTGAAAAAGCCTGGAATCAAATCTTTCTCCCCCACCGGAATCCACTGTGTTGGCAGGGGTCTTGGAACGAGTCTTTCCCCTGTCACAGCTTTCGCATAAGACCCCAGAGGTTTCACTCCGGGAGTCGGCGACGGCTCAGATGAAGAAGGAAGCCCTGCCCCGGAGGAGATTTCCTCCGCCTGGCCATTATCCACCGCCATCTCTGTAACTATGTCCGAGGGGACGGAACCCCCTGAGTTAGGCAGCGCAGAGGCAGACGGCTGAGGATCGTCCGGGGGTCGACCCGTCGGCGTTGTCGTTGAAATCACGGTCGTCGTCGCAGCGCTATTAGACAGCTCTGTTCCTCCTGCCCAAGGATTAGGATTGAGTATGTCAGAAGAAAGCTTAATGCAAAGGCAGATTGGGTGGCCAGGTCTCGAGCCAGGAACCAGCTCCCTCAAGACTGGCTACAAATTCTGGACATTGTGTCGCCCCTGTTGTAATTTTGGCTTTCCATTTCAATGAATGATATGCGTGTCTTAACGTCAAAAAAAAAAAATATATATAGGGAGCATGCATCAGATCTTCTTCTGAAACTAAAATGTCAGAAGATGGTTTTCTTTTGTTCCCCATATGTCTGCAATAGGGATGACATTGTGCACCTATTATAAAAATTCGATAATATACTAACTGGATTTTGGAAGTTTTTGGAAGAGTAAATTTAAGGTTAAATACACTTGTATATCCAAAACTTTCACGGTTGTGCCAATAATATCCAAATTTTCCGAAATACCACTTATATCCAATTCTTTCACATTCTTTAACGGTGTTTTTGGATATACAAGTGTATTTAACCAAAAATATATTGGGAAATGGATAGATTTGGCAAAGAACAATTTTAAAACATGGATATAAGTGGTATTTCGGGAAATTTGGATATTATTGGCACAACCGTGAAAGTTTTGGATATACAAGTGTATTAAACCTAAATTTAATGGGTGCATGAATATTCATGTGTTCAAAAACATAAGTAAAAACTATTTTTCGGAGTACCCATATCGTAATATTATTAAAAAGAATTCAAGAATAGTTATGTGTTCTCATGGTAGCCAAGCTTAACTTATTTCATAAAGCACATGGGTTCGATTCACATTGGTTACATAATTTTTTTGAATTATTTTCGGCCCCGGTCTCGAAATCCTGGCTCCACCCCTAATTTTACCTGCTTTAACCAAATTGAATCAGACTAGATACCTATAATTTTGGGTTCTGTTACCATCCCTAATATGTATTCAGTGCTTTGTTTTGAAACTAGAAGCAAGATCCATCCAATTCCATTCATCACAATTCACAAGCACATGCTCAGAATTCAATTCCACATGTGATGGAATGAAGTAGGCAGAGTCCAAACCACTTTAAATTCTGTTTGGCATGTGCCATTTCATCCAATTCATGCTTGTGCTCAACTTCCTCTCCCATTTGAGATCCAACCTTGGGATTCAGTCAGTCTTTGATTAACTAGGCCTTCACCGCGAAAGTTCCAACAGTTGACTTTGCTCTGTTTTTTGTTCCTTTCTCAAACTTGGCAAATTGTACTCGGTTTACCAACTGCTACGTAAAGCTAGATGTGTTATGGCCATGGGTCTGACTGATTACTCCCACTTCCAGCTGGTCACGCTAGCCAGCTGTGATATGTATGCTTCTCAATACCATTGGTAAGTAGCGGCGGATACAGGATATAGTAGAGCATTGGGCCGCATTTTATAAGAAAATTAGATATGATAAAAAAAGTCATAGTTTTTTTACAAGATCAATTGTACGCGTCAATCTCTTATAACGAATTCTTCAATAATGGAGTCTACATCCATACCAATAGCATATACTATTCTCTTTCAAATAAAATAGTTAACCAATCAGCGAGAAATTCAACGCTCATTTTTTTTGTGCAAATCATATTTCACCTGTTTCATTGTTGAAAAGGTTTTCTCCATAGTAGCTGTTGAAACGGGCAATGTCAACTCTAGACAATCAACTAATCAATTTGTATTGTGTGTTCATCCCTATTTTCACCAGCTGCTCTAGTAATTTTTCAAGAGAACAAACCTCATAGTTCTTTTAGTCTATTCTCTTTCAAATAAAATAGTTAACCAATCAGCGAGAAATTCAACGCTCATTTTTTTGTGCAAATCATATTTCACCTGTTTCATTGTTGAAAAGGTTTTCTCCATAGTAGCTGTTGAAACGGGCAATGTCAACTCTAGACAATCAACTAATCAATTTGTATTGTGTGTTCATCCCTATTTTCACCAGCTGCTCTAGTAATTTTTCAAGAGAACAAACCTCATAGTTCTTTTAGTCTTTTACGTTTCAGACATTCAGAATTTTAGGTTACAAATTGTTTGTTTTTCTTTAGAAGAGAATCATTGGAGCTAGAATTTCTAGGTTAAATTTAGAGTTGTGATTTGAATATGTTCATCTAACCCATTTTCCCAATTACACACAATCTTATTATAAAATAACACTCGGCTGAATGACTAGAATTGATAAACTCATAGGGGCTATACTAGTTCCGGATCCAGAGGAGGGCTGGGTCGTGACCCGGGGTGGCCACCCCCTGGATCCGCCACTGTTGGCAAGTAGTTGTGGTTCTAACCCCTCTTTGAAGGAGGGCAAATAGAGGGTGAAAAAACTGGAGAAATTTGGAGGAATTTAGAACTTTTTTTCTTGTTCATAAGTTTTGCTACAGTACATGAGAATGATTATTGGAGGGGAGTTATTGTAATAGTTGCCCCTTCAAATTGGGTTGAAAAAATCTTTTGCCTTTTAGACTCTTTCAAATCCAAAATAACTGATCGGTAACCGGATCAATAGAAGGTCTATCTTTATTGCAGTTGTGCATTTTGTAGATTTTTCTCTACCTATGTATGTGTTTGTTATTTTAAATATTTTTATTATTGATTTTGGTTTGCCTTGCTGTTCCTATTTGGACACAGAGAAGAAAGTCAATAGAGGAATGAGAAGAGTGATATAAGTGCGAATTGGATGAGGGAAGCCATTGATGGACAAAATTGAAGCATGTTCTTTGCTACCTTTCATCCAGTCCAGTATTAGTCATCTTAGCTTCACAATCCAATAGTAATTGATGACTACATTTCAATCGCAAAATTACCGATATTCTTTGCCTCTGTCAATTTTAGGGTTCACATTAGGAGGAAATTACAGAAAGAGGCAGGAAAGAGACGGTTTCTTTGACATTCGGGAATTTATTTGGGAGGGACATTACCATTTTGGAAAGAGAAACATAAATATTCATATTCGATTAGTTGATGGTTAACCATTAATCGATTATTCAATAATGAGTTACACCGTAGATTTCAACTTATTAATAACTGTACCATTGACTTATAAATGATTAATGAATAATCGTTATCAATCAATTAAGTTATCGATGTAATGTATTTATGTAACTACTAACCGATTAACCGAATATCATCCCGCCACCTCTATTGTTTTGCAACCAATATTTGAAACGAAAGGACTAGCCACTTAACAACTTTTGCAAAACGTGAACAGAAAAATGTTGGTTTTTTGGCGGGAAACCAATTAACCAACCAAACCAAACCGAGGGGAGAGAACCAAGAGACTTGTCTCAAATATCACTGTAGTGGAGCACGTTAAATTTGAATCCCAAAACCACATCTTAATTACCCAGACACCATTGGCAATCCCATTCTCCTCCATTCGCGTTGCTTACAGTTCAAATTAGCGAGTTAAATCTGTAATTAATGCCAGATCCGCTCTCGCCTGCGCCGTTCTCGCTGCCTTGCATCCTTCGGTGGCTTTCCTCTCGCCACCACCACCACCTCCCACCGACGGTTCTAAATCCATAAAATATAAGGATTGACTAAAAATGGGGCAGAGCCACGGTGCTCGTTCCGAGGAATTCTGGTCAATATGGCAACTGGGTATGTTTAAATTAATCGAAAGCTCGCTTCTTTTGTTGCGACTCCGCGTGGTGACATCGGGAGTTCGTACGAGCATGAAGTGCGCCGCAAATGTGCTGCGATCCGAAGGGATCGCTCGTGTCCATGCTGGCAGCTACAGGATCTTGAATTCCCCTTCTGGGTTTGATTGCAAGTACAGTACACCGCTTCAGCCAATCCTACTATATAAGCTTGCCCACCAAGTGTTCGACTCATTGCTTCAACCAGCTTTTCCTTTCCTCAAGTCCTTTGAGGAATCCCAACCACAGTTTGAGCCACATTTCTTGAGAGGGTAGTTTCTCAATGTTGAAGATGGGGCAGGCCAGTTTTCTGTGTTTTTGTCTCGGGATGGTGTGTTTGATGAGTGGTATTTGGGTGCAAGCAGAGGACCCTTACAAATATTACACTTGGGAAGTCACCTATGGGACTGTTTCTCCTCTAAATGTTCCTCAACGAGTAAGTGTTTGTTTGTTTTTTTTCCTGCGGTTACTTTGCTCTTTTCACTCTTTGAAGTTTTCTTTCTTTAACTAGACGTTTATGGTGCAGGCTATACTCATCAATAACCAATTCCCTGGCCCGACTATTGACGCTGTGACAAATGACAATGTCCTAGTAAATGTCATTAACAAGTTGGACGTCCCTTTCCTCATAACATGGTACGTTTTGACTCAGATAATGATGTTGGCTTTTGTTTGTTTACGGGTCCTGAGCTTGGGAAATAA